TATACCGCTGGCTGCTTGAGCAAAATTTTCAACTACTGCAGTGGCCAGCACAAAGCCCTGCCCTCAACCCTATTGAAAATTTATGGTCTGTGGTCAAGAGGCGATTGGGACAGCATAGGCGAGCTCCGACTAATATGGAAGAGCTTTGGAGGCGAGTAAAGCTAGAATGGGAAAATATACCTAGCGAAATAACAGAAAATTTAGTCGAGAGCATGCCTAGACTTATGAAACTGGTTATTAAAAACAAAGGATTGTGGATACCATATTGATACCAGCCTACTAAAATCCCACAACAAAAAAGTTCAAAACTGAGTTAATCGAGTTGCCTTACGTTTATGCCGTGAAATGGCCGCTTATTTTTAAATTCATATTTTCTGTATACTTGCTTACATTCGTTATGTAATAAAGACCAATTGCTGAAAATTTCAAAAGAATTCGCTCATTATTAAAAAAGTAATTACATTGTAAGTAAAATAATCTCGAACATGCACTCGGTTTTGATTGCCAGCGTATGTGTTGAAGCAAATCAGCTTTTTGTTAATGCGGTTCTTGCGTAGATATAAACAAGGTATATTACCTTAATTATACCTACGAAAAAACCGCATTAACAAAAAACAGATATGATTCAACACATATTTCTCTCTAACGTTTATTCCTCAGTCTTTATAGCATACTCGATAAAACCGTATTGGAAAGTAAACAAACTCTGTTAGTTTTATTCGACATTTATTTAATAATAACCGAAATGGAAGCGAAGAGTAATACAAATTTATTATAATAATAAATACAATTAAAAACGGGCTGTATAAAGAAAAAATTGCAAATTTTGATTGCGCGTTAAATGTGTTATTCGTCTATACGGGTTTTCTAACCGTTGCGAGAAATAAAAAACCGATTTGAAAACAACTTCGAGCCAACACACTTTTCAATTTCAACGCGTATTGAAATCTTGTTTATGCATCTGTTTTGAATCACACCGAACTGAGTCACAGAGCTTTATGTGTCGGTATCAACAAGGTATATAAATTATATCAAAAAGATGAGATAGTATACAACAATGAAAATAAAGCTAAATAACACAAAGGTTACCTGTTTTTAGAGTAGCCCATATGATCGATGTACATACTAGGATAAAAGTTTGCATAACAAACAAACGTGGCAACCCCCGGAAAATATTTTTGGACTTAAATTCTCAAAAATAACTTCCATATGATATTTATACGAAAATGGTTTAGTTAAAAAATAGGTGGCAACCCTATTCAAAAATATTTCGGAATGGGTTTTTTTACAAGCTTTTATTTAACTTGGTCATCCCGCGGAAATCGCGGAATCTTCTAATCTATTTTAAACTAACTTCCCGACAAGTTAGAGACTTGAAATTTTCAGCATAGTTCCAATCACGATGAAACTGCAATTTAAAATATAAACGAATTTTCTATGTGGTCCAGGGGTCTTGATTCAAAGGCGGTCAAAAAATAGTAAGATTTATGGCTAACGGAGCGTAATTTGCAAAAGAACGTAAAACCACTATAAAATTGTTAAAGCTGCCGGCGGTAATGTAGCAAAGCTAGTTGTGGCAAATTCTAGATATCAACCTAGTCTAGAAATGAACCTCGTTGTAGGTATCATATCAAGGAGATACAATTAGAAGACTCCAGATATCGTCCCGCCAGATGAAGTTAAATATTGCGCCTAAATATATGCACCATTTACATACCCTACAGCGGAAATGGACGACACGCCATTTCTTTAAATGAAATAAACTGCTGATATATTTACATATGTATGTTTATACAAAACGTAAGCAAGCAACATTTTGCTTGCATAGTCTTCTCTTCTCTTTCATTGCAAGTTGAATTATTTTAATATCTATTGCAAAATTTTGTACATAAAATAAAATAACACTTTTTAATATACAACGCTTTTATAAATGGACTAAAAATTAGAAAATAATATTTCTAAGTCCCATAGAATTTTTATAGATAACTTTTGATTTTGAAATTTTAGCAGAAGACATTATAAACCATTTATGAGATTGGAAATACAATGCGTGGAGCGCATGATATGAAGGGTAATATACGTATGAATGTGGATATATGAATAACGATCGCTTAAAATCGATCTCAACTTTGTACTTTCTGTGTAGAAATTTTAGGTCTATGTTATGTAGTTTGACAATTGTCAATTAAATCTAATACTTTGTATTGCATGCGCTCCACGTTTTTCATTTTTGATGACTTTTGCTAAAATTTCAAAATCAGCAACGCGCCCTTAGCTTAGATGAAAATGCTTCAGTTTAAGATAGATTTTACATTTAAAGAACTTTTCTATTTAAAGCAACAAAATAAAATCTTTATAAGAGCTGTTTTCATTGTAAAGGTTTGCTCAAGCAGCAGCGGTAGGGTACCGCTAACACTTTCGCAGCTCCCTATGATTTGTCTTCTTCTAAAGCAGGGATCACGAGATTTGTACATTTTAGCAGTTACAGCGTGGTGTTGCTTGAAAGTTGTTATTGAGCTAAACTCACTATTTCACTCTGTGACTGCTAAAGTGTACAAATCTGTACAAATGCATAAATCGTGCGATCCCTGCTTAACAGCTTCTTTACAGCATATTCACTACTGCTAGTGATAGCAGAGCGTAATTTGCCGGCGCAACTATATAGGATAGTTTTAGGCAGCGGAATAATAGATTCTATTGTGAATTCCTTGGTAAGATAAAATACCGGAAATTAGTTTGAATAAATCAGCTGTTAACCTTGGGATATTTCTATACGAATTTCTGTAGAGCACCTACCGGGTATACCACACACCCGGTACTTGATCTGAATGCTTAAATTAGTAACACACCGATTTATTTCTGATTATCCTCCAAATTCGTGACATATTGAGCGCGTCCATATTGGCTAACCGTAGACTGTTTGTCCTAGAAACGCACAGTTGAGTAGTTCCGCTCAGTTCAACAGTTGCCAACTTTCCGCAATTTTTTCCATCGTACAATTTTTTCGTTACCTGAACTCAACGTGTTTTGCTCAGCCTAAACAGATGATCGAAAAGATTTACGCCGCTTACATTAAATGTACTACGCTCATAAATGGAGAGCCCTTAAAAAAAATAGTATGTCCTGTTTATATAAGACTAAGACGTTCAAAATAAATAATGTAAAAAAAATTGTTTTTAAAAACAAGCTTTTTTTTTAACATGTACAATCAAAGGAATAAAGTAAAGTAGTGTATTAAAAGATTTTTTAGCAAGAAAATTTTGTCAAAACTGCACTAAAATGAATAAAATAAAATAAGTTAAGGTCTCGTCAAAGTTATTAAAAGCCATTTAGTGAAAGGAGTTACAGAAACTCTAATGAAAATTACTAACAATTTGTACTAATTTACTTCGTTTTTAAAAAAGCTTGTCGGCGAATTCAGCGTACATGCGTAATTAGTTAGGTATGTATATGTATGTATGTATGCAGATATTGCAATGCCGGTTTGCTATTCGCGCGACAAACTTTTTTAAAAACGAAGTTATTTAGTAGAAATTGTTAGTAATTTTCTTTAGAGTTTCAGTAACTGCTTTCACTAAATGGCTTTTAGTAACTTTGACGAGACCTTAACTTATTTTATTTTTTTCATTTTAGTGCAGTTTTGACTAAATTTTCTTGCTAAGAAATCTTTTAATACACTTCTTTACTTTATTCCTTTGATTATACATGTTAAAAAAGCTTGTTTTTAAAAAATATTTTTTACATTATTTTATTTAATACTTTCCATTTGATACGCAAGATGTTATTTTATTTGTAACAAATTGAAAATACAAAATGCAAACCCATACTGAATACTAAACCTATGGTATAGTGGTTGAATTTTGTTTCTGAAAGGGTTACCCCTAAAAGCATAATCTACGTTTGCGAGGCTTATACGGAATCGGATTTTTTTAATTTTAACACAAAATTGGCTTCTTATTTTTTTGATTTAAATAAATGTGGTTAAAGTTTTTATCAATAAAACTATGTTTCAGTATTAGTTAAAGCAACAACTTCAATATCCTTAAAAAAAAGGGCAGGACTAGGTATATTTTAGCTCACAAGTTATCTTTTAAGTTACATACGCCTGTAATACGCCTGCAATACGTAGGTCAAAGAAAGCTTTAGCTTAAAAGTGTGATACTAAATGGCTTTCACCTAAACGGCGCCAATTTTCAAAGATTATTGCATTTCAGATTACGACTAAGAAAGCTCTTGGACCGATATTGTGAAAGGTTGGACTATACCCCAAAGATTACTGTTTTCTCACGGCCCACTGTACGAAGCTTTTAGTAGAGTAAGCTCCTTTAAGAACTTAAAAATTATCCTGGGTTATCAGGTCTTTAGAAGTACAAGATTAATTGATGTCTTTCACGAAGTTCTTTAAATAAATTTTTAGCTAAATACTTACCCGAATTTCGGGGTGTACTACAAGTTTTAATAAATTTGTTTTAGAGAATCAATGTGAAATAATTGCAGACACGATTAACCAGTTTTCTGAGCAACCGAGACGTCTGCTTTTTAAATCATTTTTGTAAAACAAATCCGCAAGTACATATCGTCCCCCGCATGCCAGAGACATGAATGTGTAAAGATGAAAATTTTATGATTTTTTTATACTTTGTCAGCCCCCCTAAATTCGATCCTGGCAACGCCCATACAGGGCGGCCGAGAGAAAAGTCGGGCCTGGACTGAAAAATCACTAGCCCCTGTACATACATTGTATTAATTTAAAAGCATGTGGTCATTTTCTTTAATTAATAGCGTCAGAAGGAATCAGCACGATATAATATATTTATAAATGTAAAAAAGTAATCACAAGTTATGGTTCTGATATTTCAGCCCTTCAAAAGCCCCGGCCGGGGGGATTCAGCCCTTCCCCCCTCCCTATCGACGGGCCTGAACATTAGTATATTAGGCAACTTATGACTGGGAAAATGGCTCCTACAGTTGATAACGAAAGACAATGTACAAATATTTACCTTATAGCCCGAACTCCATAAAGCCCTCATTTATGAGTTATTAATTTCTGTAATTTCACAAAGCTTTAGTTATTTTTGTGTCTTTATTTTATTGAAGTAACGAGATCACACTACACTTTTCACACTTTTGTATAGATAACAGTTGTAGTTATAATTCTTGACAACCTCGAAGAAGTAAATTTCCTCTTGGAAAAGAATAATCCTCGAAATTCACAAAAATGCAAATCGAGGTATGTGTACTTATGAAATGTGTTTAATGCAAGTAATTGGTGTTTACATCTATTAAAAACCTCTTTACTAAAACACTATTAAAGTTGTCAAAGTCAAACATAATAATAGTTTATAACATACTAATGTATATTCAGAAAAAATGCATAAAATAATTGTTGTATTAGACACACATGTACATATGCATGTACAAGTATAAGAAGAACCCACATCAGTGAATTTATTATGAATATCCACTCGACACGAATCCGTCAAATGAAACAAGAGGTCTGAACAGCACTGACGAGTGGTTCTCAGATGGCTTCTGGATAGCCCTCGAATAAGTTTTTCTATTAAAGTTGAACTCTGCATTTTGGTTGGGCAGGCAACAGAGCATTTTTTTTATTTACTTAATTTTAGTTTTTTGTTTTTGCTGGTTCGGTATAACAAACACAGTATGTAAGTATGTACATATATATGTACGTACATGCGTAACATAATTGGCGCATACAATCTTTCTCGCTTACTCTAATGTAGAGTTACAATTACAATAGAAAAAAGCATATGATAGGCTGAGTAATATCCAATCCAGGCGCAATTTGACTAAATGAAAAAATGCTGGCTATAACCAACCCTATGTAAAACGGTAAATGTGCCAACATAAAGTGAAGCTACAGCGTAAATGCAATACTATATTGACATTTTGCGTCTCAGGTCTCTATCTTGCACACCTTCAATACCAGCGTTTTTCATATTAAAAGCTAACATATGGAAACACAACTAGAATGAAGACATTGGTTGGAAATACATACATACACATATGCATATCATCGTTTAAAGTGCAAAACCGCGTATCAACAAAATGCAATGTAGAAATTATTTTCTAGAGCGTAAAAACACTCATATTTCAAAATGGTTCTCTTTTTATTACCTTCCTTTTATTAACTCGGGATGTAAATATATAATATATGCGCCTAAAAGATGCAGCGATTTCTATTCTCAAAATACATACCTGAGGACAGTACGAATGGCAATTATAATAAGGAGGTTTTAGTTTTTTAAACTATAATTTTATTCATAAAGCAATCGCATTTCTGGCTAGTATATTTCATGACGAATGGATAAGGATTGAGCCAAGAGCTTGTGTGGCCAAATCCAATTTTTGGCAGCCAATGTCAGTTACGCGCTTTCGCAGAATGACGATACGCGGCTTTGTACTTTAAACGACGACATGTATGTACATGAGCAGCTGAATAGAAATAAATGCGTGCATACATATACATATGCACACGTTCCTCAAAATGTTTTAACTCAAAATCTGTGGTTTATCAGAAAACGCTACAAACTATTTCTGAGCATGTTATTTAAATATAGCATTGACCCATTAAGTTAAACTTTTGGCAAATAAAATTAATCTTTTGGCAAATAAATTTAATCTTTTGGCAAATAAATTTAATCTTTTGACAAATAAAATTAATCTTTCGGCAAATAAATGTAATCTTTTGGCAAATAAATTTAACCTTTTGGCAAATAAAATTAATCTTCGGGCAAATAAATTTAATCTTTTGGCAAATAAAATTAAACTCTACTATAGTACTAAGCAGTGTTTGAAAAAGTAAAAAATACACTAAACAACTGCTGTTGCTGTGCTTTTTTTTACGCTTAGCTTTACTGCGCCAATATCAAGAGTTAACCTCCAGGATAACTGAAAAGTGTTTTTTGGTGTTTCTGTTCTGTTGATTTGCCTGCTCACTTTCAAGCAGTTCTGTCACAGCATGGTCTCAAATATTCGTCAAACTTTCGGGCGCATTTTATTTCAACCAAACCACGCATTATGGCCAAATGGGATAAAAAAACATCTAAAATGCTACAAATCTTGAACTCCCGTAATATATTTTCAAACGCAGGTACAAGAAAAATTTATTTATGTCCATACGCACATATATGCAATAGGGTACTCATCAAAAATGTTTTCTTTTGGAAATTTCAAGACCCTACCCCCTAATTTTATTCAGTTTTATGAGAAATATTATTGCCTATTTGTATAGGTATTTTAAAGGTCATTTAGAGGTCGCGGCCTGTCGATTTAGGTTAAAAAAGACTCGATTTCAAAGATCGAATGTCATCTGAGAAGAGTATAAATAGGCCTTTAAAATGGTATTTAATAATCTATTTTCGGACTTGGAAATTTTGACCATAGATAATTTCCACAATTTCAAAATAAGTAGTACTGTCTAAAATTAAATATATTTTCAAATAAACTGATACCTCATTAATTGCAATCGCATTAAAATTGTCGAATTTAGGAGACCTTTCTTAAATACGGCCTTGAATTTGTATTGTTTATGTACCGGACTTTCAGATTTTTTGAGCAGTGTGGCGAAGGAATTCATCAATATTTATTCAAAATTGATATACATATCAGGGTTGTTGCGAATATTCGCATTCGCATACGCAACCGCGGAACTTCCGCATAAATTTTAACATTCGCATTCGCTTTCGCATTCGTAATAATCAATTCGTAGCTTTTGCGAATGCGAATATTGTGTGAGAAAATAGTAGGTATTTCCAGCGGAAATGTTCAACGGTTGGCTATAAAGGGAGTCGTCTATTTGCGCCTGAAAAGATTACCTTTAATTAGGTAAAAACTATGTAACTATCGAATATTATTTGTAAAATGTCTGTTGAAAAAACTGGATGCATCGCCAGTTTTTTCTACTTTTTCTTAGAAAAGTGTAATTGCTTTTTCTCATAAAACTTATTATTCTTAAGTTTCGTGTTTCCTTTTATTAGTTTTTCAGCTCGAACTCAAAACCATTTATTTTAATTTTGTGTAAATTCTCAATATTAGCACGCATCGAAATAAAGATGAAATTATATGTAAATAAGTCGACAGCCAAGTTCACAAATTATTATTTTTTTTAAGAATTAATTCAATATGAATTTTATATCTATTGAGGAGTGGGACTTGGCATGTAATATATCGTTAGTATAGTATGGAAAGGGCGTAACTCACATCG